TTACAATGTTTCCGATCATACACAGGACCTCAATAGCCTCGAAATCGCATATAGAAACGTCCTTCAGCTACATGTACTTTATTTATGCATGGCTGGTATCTCATGTTGAGCCAATGAAACAAACAAGGTTTCTCATAGAACAGGAGATTCTATATATAATTTCACAGTCTGTCCATATACTGTCGTAAAATTTGTACGGTATGATACACTGTTTCAAACTGTCAAAGACGTGTTGAGATCTGCCTAGCCTAAAACACTTTGATATGCCTACTGTCAAAAAACTCACAACTAATTTCGGAATAGTATCTATTAGTTAGCATGCTGGACCGATTGACTGCCCGGTTAACCTAGTTAACAACCTCTCACTATCTAACATATTTCTTCTTTTCCTAGCTTAACTGCACGGTTAACCGATCGGTTGAAGATAGCTCCACTAACAGCTAGCTGCATCGATCGGTTGACTGCCCGGTTAACCCAGTAGACAACCTCCCATAATGTGAAGAGCTAGCTTAACCGCTCGGTTCGAGGTTGAATTACATACTCAACCGGATAAGAAACCGATCTACCTAGCTTAACTGTACATTCCTAGCCCATTTCTTTTTGCTTGGGTAATCACGAGTGAAAACTTCTCTGATCAGCCGGTGAATTATTTCATGAAAAATACGCACTTCGAAACCGAAAATGATTGAAGCAACCAGATTTTTGTTCATTAATTTCTTCTAATCAAGATCTTGCCTAATTTTCTATTTGAAAAGTTATTGAATTATAACATAGTAAAATCATCTCTAAAAGGTTTTCTTTACAACAGCTTTTCCTTTACAGAAAAGCTCAGGCCTTGGAAATTTGAACTGGCCCTTACGACGCAAGAAGTCCTCGACATTGCTTTTCTGTAACATCTCTCTCAATCAAGTTAAGAATATATATATATAACATTACTAGAACTATTCGGTGACACACGTTCTGACGTATCAGAGAGACGACAGTTCATTGTCAAAACTCCCTATAGATCACGCGAGTTCTGTAACGGAAAAAGCGGTACGAAAACAAAATTTATCCAATACAACGGAGCCGAGTTTAAGTATCAAAACGATGATTCTTTTTATAGACGGATCGGTGAATCGATTAAATCATTTGAGCAGCTGCTGATAAACGTATTTCAAATATTATTTTTAATTCCGAATCCTATATTTAGAATCGCTATATATTATTCAATCATAGATAATGTATGATACATTAAATATTATTCACTGAAATGTTCATATGTGATGATTTTAATACAAAATACACAATGTGGAACATTATCATCATTTATCTGCTGGCACACAGACATTTGACCCACTCGAAAGTTGGATAATTATACCAGTTTAATGATAAGGAACGAGTCATTGAGCTGTTACAGTAGAGTAGATAAAATACGACTGCTTTTATCTTTATTTTCGTTTTGAAGAATCAAAATGATGGAAAGTTATCTAACATATATGATTTTGTTCAAACTACAAATAAAACTGGTAATACGTATAAGAAAAGCTCGAATGAGTTACCATAAAATGACAACTTCGCTTATTGTGTACGCGGAAAAAGGACATGACTTTCTTATTAAAATGAGCACGAATTCGAATTCTGAATTGATTGTAGCCAAGGGCAATGATGAGTAAAATGATGATGTTATAAAGGGAACTGTCCATCAGTCTGTAAAACTAATTCATTTAGAGTTTAGTATTCAACGTGTCTTGCCATGCTTGACGTTCGGTACACGCATTCCACCAATTCATCACATTTGGCCGTGCTTCAAACTGTTTGTTAAAACCAAGTTTAAAAAGATGTGCTGTGTAAGGAATATGAAACAAATCGACCAGTGTAAATTCATTACCAGCCAAATATTTTTGTTTGGATAATATTTGTTCATAAACATTCAATGTTTGTTCAAGTTTTTCTGTCAGCTGTTTAACTTTGGCTTCATCAGTTTCACCGAGACCCATCATTCTAAAAATGAAGATCAAGATCAACACCAACATTTATTTCTCATTATAGGATCCTTACTTCTTAAAGAGCTTTTCGAACACGATTCCCGAAGCACAAGTATCATAGTTAAATATTTCAACTGATGCGGCTTGTTCAAATTTTCCAAATGCTTTGACATCGGTAACATTAGGTGTCAAGGCACTTCCTTGATCTTTATACTTTTGCTCAAGATACCGACAGATACCACGAGATTCATAAATTAGATAATCATCATCTTCCAAAACTATAAAAGAGGAAGAATACTAATATTCCTATAAGTTGTTATCTAAACCTTTTTACCTGGAATAACTCCAAATGGCTGTTTTTTCAAAAATTCTGGTTTCTTTTGTTCACCGTTCATCAAATTCACAGGCACTAATTCAAATGGAACATTTTTCTCTTTCAATGTCATCATTACACGTTGAGTACAAGTAGACATTGAAAGTCCATGAACTTTAATAACCATGGTTGATTTATTCTATAATCGAAGCAGTAGGAAACGCTAGTTTTTAGAATATACTTTCAACTTAAATTAAATTACAGTAGTAATTATTTTTATAAACAAAATTTATCACTTAAAATCAATTCTTGCACATTTGAGCAACAGGTGCAATAGATCTTACTTGTCTGTTCTAATTTCAAACAGTAAAATTTAAAATATCAAGACGAATGTGCTACCTTGTGATAACCGTTATCAGCATCAACAGTGACAGTTTCAGTAGCATAATATGTTCTCTACAGTTAAAAAGCTTCCAACATAGTCACTTATATGGTTACTACTAATCAATTGTAGCTGTAGACAGAATGTTAGCCTGACACAGAGTTCTTCCGTCCAACTGTTGGAGCTCATCATACACAGTCATTCACTTTGCGTGCCAAATTCTCTAGAAAGTCTCAAAGTCTAATCGAAGATGCACTATTATGTAAATATTAGATTATTACATGACCTGATGGTGCCTGATATACTAGAAACACAACGCGATACATCTAGAGCCATAAAAAAAGGAAAAAGTTGAATCGGGTTATCGGTAGATACATCTAGATACACCCGATTCGTTTCTAGATGTATTTAGTTATGTATCTAGTAGCGATATTAAGCCGATTCATCGTGCGATATATCCGGAGATAAATCTAATTGTGTATCGGCTGCTGATGAGACACGCGTGAAATCGCCCGATAAAGCGGTCGATACATCGTACAATATATTAGGCGATGGATCGTGGGATATATCGATCGATTCATCTACTTGAACACTGTTTCAAGTCAATTCCATTCCATCCTAGCGTTAAAATCGGGCGATGCATCTAGTGTAAGGCGATTTCAACTAGATGCAACTAGTGAGAAATCGCCTTGTTCTAAATGAGGTGAAACAGTAGTTATCATTTTATACCATGAAGCTTAAATTATACAAAGCTGAGCTTAGCAGATAAAACTGAGGGAATTCAATTTGCTACATTTCATCTTCGAGGCCCAAGTTTGGAAAACATCTCCTTCACAGTGAAAATCCGGGAATATCACTTTTTTTAAGGCCCACCCCCCCCTCTAAATTTTTTTTTCCCCAGAACACTCAATCTTACTGAAATTTTTATTGAATATGTATCTGACCATTGATAGTTCTCAGTATAAATTTGAGCTCATAAT